GTGAATACATCACTTTCCACTTGGTCAATCTTTGCATGAGGAAGCCCTGGACGCCGCCTCATTCCTCTCATCTATTACTCTCAAGTGTGAGGATACTGTTGCTTTACATCCTTGTGGCGCCTCATATTCTTCCGGTACGGTAACAATTTTGTATGTCGCGACCATATCTCCTCTGTCTGTTGTTCTTCATTGTTGTGAAGTCAAGTTCCCTCAGCCTTTCCTATGTCTCCGGTCCTCTCAGTTCCGGGACCATGCTTGTGGCAAGTCCCTGGACTATCTTGTTTTCTCTGGTTCCTTAGCTTGGGTCTCCACACAAGAGCTAACATATTTAAGCGTTTGTTCACACAGGTATTGTACTTGGCTGTGAGGGGCACCATGGCTAGCTTCATGAAGCTTAGCCAAGCTTTACCAGAAGTTTAGCCAGAATGGCTACATAGCTCTCTCTGTGGTACAGAATGTTCAAAAGTTCCTTCATATTATCCACTACGCTAATACGAGAGCAAAAGAGCGTGAGATAATATCAAAGAGTACTGGTTCCTGAATACTACTGGGCTAATCACCAGGCTTTCACATGCCGCTGATGGTATTTTGATGTGTGTTCCTGTGTCGGGATCTTTTATTGTTCTAGTTTGTAGGTTCCCGTTCCACGCGCTCTCTGGGTCCTCCTCATTCCGCTCTCAATTCTTATCACTTTACATTTGTCAGGATTGGAGTCTAACAACCATCCATCGGAACATATGTGTTGGCCTGATACCCCATAAAAGGCCGCTCTTTTTACCCCTTATGAGGCAGCTCCTATTTATACCCACCCAAACTCATTCATATATGTCTAACCTACGCTTGAAACAACCCAGCCAACCCACGTCAAGTATATTACCCGGTAATTTGTTCCACAATTCAACAATCCTGTTTCCAAATTTACCCAGATCTTTCCTGAATCTAAACCTGTGTTCCATTGTTTCACTATTGTTGTCAACAGTCTTGCAGCATCTTGGAGAGTGACCATTAAGATGCTACCACCTCCGTCAAGGTGTTGGGGTGGTCTCAGTAGTGGGCCTTGAGGCACCACTTATTACTGCTACCGTCTCCTGTTTCTTTCCCTTCCTAGGGCTGTCTCCTCTTGTACACTCTCTGGTCAACGCTCGAACAGTTACCCTTCTCTGGCAGAGGGACTAGTTTTGTGGTTGGTTAATGTATAACTATTTTTAAAAGTCGAGGAAGATGTTGCGGCCCACCTTTATCTTTCCTGTTTGATTACTGTCATCGTGTAGAACTGAGTGATGCTTGTCAGGCGATACTTCCCCTTCATTCAACCTTGGCTTGTTAGGAGTTTGGACACATACACGGGTGTGTGTGTGTATGTATGTATGTATGTATGTATGTATGTATGTATGTATGTATGTATGTATGTATGAATGTATATATGTATGTATGTGTGTGTGTGTGTATGTGTGTGTGGGGGGGAGAGATACATTAACTAAGGCTGCAGGAGTTGAGCAGTGTTCTTCGTGTCCTTTTTTTCACTATTTAATTGCTCATAAGTATTGGCAAAGTTTCCAGTAGTTGTGGTGCATACTGGCTCCTCCTGGTGCCCAGTCAATCCTCTGCCACTCTCTGAAGAGGATCTTCTCGTGTTCTCCTCACCTATATTGTCTTGGTAATTTCAATAACAGCCTCTTGTTTTACCCATTGATGATTAAAAAAAAAATCATCGTTGTTTATTTTTCCATATAATTTCGTAATCTTGTATGGTTATCGTATCATATTTTCCTCGTCGCATTTCAACGTGGGCTTTTTCCAAACTTCGAATTGTTTGTACGTAGTTCATTGCCGTAGACCGTTCGTAGACCGTAGTTCTACGGTCCTAGTTCATTGCCGGGTTATCCAATAGTCCAAGAAAGCTATGGCCAACCAGCATAAGGGGACCCACCAACACCAGGGGGCCCACTAGCACCAGGGGGCCCACCAACACCAGGGCCCACCAGCACTAGAGCCCACCAGCACTAGGGCCCACCAACACCAGGGCCCACCAACACCAGGGGGCTCACCAGCACCAGGGGGCTCACCAGGGCCCACCAACACTCTTCTATACACTTTCCCCGGTGTTTTGACAGTGAGATGGACGTAATTTAGAGCAGCCTCTACCAGTCTGCTTTGGCTGTAGGTGCATAATGTTTACCAATTTATTTTTAATGAAATCCCCCCAAAAAATCTCGCAAGTAGGTAGCTAAGTTCTTTTTCGCATTCTTCCAGTACTCAGGGAGATATCTCACTCGTTTTTATTGCCTTATTCTTAATGTTATATAATAATAGCTTCTGTACTCTCTTGTTATTTCATTTTTTTTATCTGGTTGCTGCAAGTTTTTGTCCAGTTCGATAAATTCCTTTTCATGTATAAAATTTATGTATGTTTTGTTTTAATTTCAAAAATTTAAGTTTGAAATTTAATTTCATGTTTTGTTCCTTATTAATATTTTCCTCTGATCCAAGAACTTTATTTTCGAATTTAATTATCTGTATATTTGTGTACATTCAGCCTAATTTTTTTATACATTAATTACAAGCTTGGATACAGCTTGCTCATTCTGTTCTGTATTTGTCTCAGTAAATCCTTCTCTCTCTGCCTGTCTTGGTAAATGTATTACTAGCCTACTTGAGTCTCTGCGAGGTTTGCCACCTTCCGACGCCTATTAGGCTGCGCTTCAAATTTATCATGTTATTTATTGCAAAAAATATACATTGCAAATATTGTTATTTATAACATTTCCTTGCGATGCTTGAGTCAGTTCAGCTCCACTGAAACAGCTGCTGTTTTTTGGTTCAGCATTGTCCTAACTCCCTTTTGATAGTATCATTTATTTTTGGGGGGATTGTTGTTTTCGTTGACCGTTATGAGCTGCTACAAGAGTTGTCTCCAGTAGTACTGGATGACTGACGCTAGGTGGGTTAAGGGCGTACATGTTAAACGAGCATTCTGTTGTGCTTAACAGGTTTCTGACACCGTCTTAGCTTAATGACTTGTCTCATCTCACGTCTCGTTCCCGCCCTTTACGACACATCACTTCTCCGCTCCTCGCATGCCCTCACTATGCTCTCAGCACAGTGTCTCTCCTCACTATACAACACGTCCCTTCCCGACACTTCTCATCACCCTAACCTTCCCTTACCTCCCCTCCTCTCCCCTCCTCTTCCCTCACCTCCCTTTGCCTCCCCACTAAATTACATAATCGGCCTGAGCCTGGAGCCGACCGTAATCAGCTTACCCTTATTTCCCATATTTATCAGCGTTGTCTTCCACCTGCCGCGGGCTTCCCTCCTACCCATCTCCCTGTTCCCCTCTTTCTGACGTACCTCTCGTATTCCCCCCACACTTCTATACCTTCCCCCTCACCGTCAGCCTTCATGCCGCCCTCCCCTCCCCCCATTCTGCCAGACCACTAAATCGCCCTATCCTCTGCCAGACCCCACTAGCACCCTCTCTCCCCTGCTCCCTAGCTCTGCCAGACCCCTCACATCATCTCTCTTTGTTCCCCCTCACTCTCACATCCCCTAGCGCGCTCTTTCTATTCCCCTACCCCCTCCCCGCCTCTCTCTCTCTCTCTCTCTCTCTCTCTCTCTCTCTCTCTCTCTCTCTCTCTCTCTCTCGCTCCCTCCCTCCCTGCCAAACTCCTAGTGTTGTCATCCCTCTACCTGTTCCCCTTCACTGCTAGTCCCGCAATATTTCCCCTCTCGCCAGTCCACCATACCTCCCTTCCTGCCACCCCTCACGCTGACAGTCCATTAAACGGGTGTATCCACCTGTAACATTAGTGATGGGTCAGGTTTGAAGCAGAGCACCCGCTCTGCCTCACAGACACCCTATAACTACTGCTGCTGGTCCCTAGCTTATTGTAGCTTTTAATAATTGAGTGTGTGCTCTTCACGCACTAATCATTTGGTCTGTCACCTCTCTCTTAGCGTGGTTCTCTGCTAATCATTTAGAGTGATCTTTCACTCGCTGTGTTCCACTAACTTCTCGTTCAAGGGGGTTACCTTAATAACTGTGGCCCCGCTCCTATAGCCTGGTTGATCCGGCGTTGTTTGCTGTCCTCCCCTCGTTCATTCCAGGGTCGTAATATCCTCGCTACACTCTCTGCGCGTCATCCTCTCTCCTCTACGGTCTCTCCATATTCCCTGCTCTTCCTCTCCGCACTCTTGTTTGTTGTTTTAGATTCAGCTACGTAGAGCTAAAAGTTCCAAGTAGCACGGGCTATGGTGAGCCCGTAATCCTTTCCATCTCTTCCCTCATTTATCTATAGCTTCCTTTATCTCATCTCTCCCCTCATCTCCCCAACTCTCCCCCTCGCTACCTACTCTCCTCTCGCCTCTTCAGCCCAAGGCCTGACCTGTGTTTACATTCAGGTCCCCTAATCCAGTTATTACCTACTTCTGGCCCAATTTTTTTGGAAGGTTTTCATCCATGAAGATAAATTGGGGTCTGTAAGTATTTTGGAAGGTGTATACATTCACCTCAGCACGGTAGATAGTTACACTTTCATGACTATAAAGTATTGTAGGATGAATTATTGCAGTCATTTATACTCATGACGTCTTAAAGCTAAGATTATAATAGAGTTGAACATTGTGAGTCTGCAGTGATTTGGGTGTTCACAGAAGTGCAGTCAGTGAGTTAACCTACAAGTTACCAATTATTGCTGGCAGAACAGGGGAGACAGAGGGAAGGAACTGTACCAAGATCATTGTTCTCATATATTCAACATAGTTGTTTTATGACTAAAGGTGAATTTTTTATTTTCTGCCCTGTCGTGTAACTTTTGAGATTGACTACACTCTACAGCATTTCTTCTCTTTTTTTTCATTGCATATTATGTTGCAGCGGACGAAAGAAACCAGACTATTGTCTTGTGTGTTACATATATAATTTATAAATATAGTTTTATGCTTAAACGACTGTAGCCCACGTAGAGCCGGGTGTAATCCGGCGAGGTTTACGAAAGTGAGGCCTGAAACACAGTGGGGTTTTCACTGTCGTTTTCTATCTGCCTGCAGCAGAGGTGGAGCGGAAGCTGGAGGCCAGAAACCCCATCGAGTGGACGCCTTACCAGACGCAGCCCCTCGGCCTCACCAGGAACGACGTCCAGAGGAGGGTACGTACTACCTAACCTTCATATATCCAACCTCATAATTGAATGATCAATATTACATTTAAAATGAATGAATATAGTTTGTTGGTGAGTATAAGCTCTTGCGTTGGCGTCGGTAATAAGTTGAGAGGCGAGGGAGGGAGTTATCAGGGGCAAAGCGTCAAGGCATTACGACTATATAGCACTTGGAAGGGGTCAGGATAAAGATTTGGGATGGGACTGGGGGGGGGGAAGGAATGGTGCCCAACCACTTGGACGGTCAGGGATTGAACGCCGACTTGCATGAAGCCAGACCGTCGCTCTACCGTCCAGCCCAAGTGGTTGAGTAGTTGAGAGGCAAACAGCAAAGAGTATAGTTTGTAGTAAGAGCAGGAGGCAGGGGGTAGCTCACCGTGTACTGGTCTCACCCGTGTACAGAGCCCGTGTGCGTCACCGTCGGGCAGCGAGCGGGCGGCCACAGCCACGCCGCTAGACACCGCCAGCAACGCTGAAGACACCTCCAGCAACGGCAACAAGGACGACGAGGACGACGACGCCGATGACGACAATGACGACGACAAGATCGACGCCCAGTACGACCCGGAGCGTCTCAAGGCCTTTAATGTGAGTAGGGAAGTGTTTTAAGTACAACCTAAATTGTCTCATGGTGTGTGTCTCAAGATTCTCAAATGGAGATTGTGGTCGTGAAGGTGGTAGTTGTGGTGGCAGTTATTGTGGTGATGGTAGTTAATGTGAAAATGGTATTTGTGGCAGTGATTGTGGATAGTTGTGGTGGTGATTGTGGCAGTGATTGTGGATAATTGTGGTGGCTGTTGTGGCAATGATTGTGGCTAGTCGTGGTGGTTGTTGTGGAAAGTGATTGTGGTTAGTTGTGGTGGGAGTTGTGGTGATGAAGATTGTAGCTGTGAAGATCTTAAGTGTAAAGATGAATAAAATAGTAGTTAAATGTTTTCACGTTAACCGGAATTTACCTCGACGGGGGACAGAACACCAGCGGCTTGTCAAAGGAGAAAATATTTGTTTTTTTTTCTGAATTTTAAACTCAAGTGCTTGCTAATCAGTTCGTAGGTTTATTATGATCTAGGTAAAAAATAACATCTCACGTTTTCTATGCTACAGCGTGGCTTGTTTATTATGGACATTGTTATATCAGCACTTATCCCACACACTGTGTTTTCTCCTCTTCTTTATCAGTATTCTCCCCATGCCGTCATTACACACTGTAATCTCACCATTCAGTAATCACACACTGTAATCTCCCTACCCATTCATTGAGCAGTATTCTCCCCCAACTATTAATCAAGCAATATTCTCCATCACCATTAATCACACACCCGGTGATCTGCCCAACAGATGTTTGTGCGACTGTTTGTGGACGAGAACCTGGACCGCATTGTGCCCATCAGCAAACAACCCAAAGAGAAAATCCAAGCCATCATCGACGCCTGCGCTCGCCAGTTTCCAGAGTTTGCCGAGAGGACACGGAAGAGGATCCGCACCTACCTGAAAAGCTGCAGGAGAAACAAAAGAACTCGAGATTCTAATGGATGGGAGACGGTGAGTATTAGCGGGAGGGAAGAATTACATGGGGATAATTACTAACGCAGAAGAGAGGGAGGGAAAAATGATTATAGGGGGGAATTATATATAGACGGTCTATAAAGGTCGGTAATGTTGTAAGGTTAGACAAAATCAGTGGGAGAAACCTATGTGCCATCATCTATAATGCTCTTGGACAGGGCCAAGATTCCATAACAAATTTTAAAAGTAACAACAAAATCAAAAACATTTGAATAGTACTGTATGAGAGGAATTTTTAAGAGGTGTGATCTACTTCTTTCAGCAAAGGATCAGGGTTTTATATATTTCTATTTTTCAACAACAGTTTGGTACAGTTCCAAAAGGGTTGGCTGAGTTTTACTAAGCCTTTTGTCTTTTGACTTTTATTGGTTTGGAAATATTGTGTGACCTAAGCAAACAAGAACACACAGTATACTTAACAAAGGATGAGAACAAAAGTAGTGGAACGTAATTGTTCTTTCTATGAGCACTACGGCTCAACTGATGACCCCTCACCCACCAGTGCTGGTGTATTTACCTTTGGGAAGTTATAGCAAGATAATACTATTACAGTAATAATTATAATAATACTTGAAGGAGTACTTCCTTGCACACAGATCTCTCTCTCTCTCTCTCTCTCTCTCTCTCTCTCTCTCTCTCTCTCTCTCTCTCTCTCTCTCTCTCTCTCTCCCTCCCTCCCCTTTCTGTCCCCTCTCTCATAACTCTTTCCCTATCCTCTTCTCCCCTCTCCTCCGCACTGCACCTTTCTCTCCCCACTCCAACTTTCTCCCCAACACCCCTTCCCCCTCTTCTTTCCTCTCCACACACTCTCCCTCCATCTCCATCTTTCTTACCCCCCTCATCCCCAACATCCCCCCTCTTCTCCCCCTCCCCTATCTTCAAACAATTCACCTCAACCCTTCTCCTACCCTCCCTCCCCTTCTTTTTTTTTTATCTCAGAAAATTTGATAACTAAGAACTGAAATAAGTCTATGGACAACACAACCAGTATTTCAATCCTCATGAAAACCACTTTGGCTGTACTGTAAAGCGACGGTCTCGCTTCATGCAGGTCGGCGTTCAATCCCCGACCGTCCAAATGGTTGTTCACCATTCCTTTCCCCATCCTATCCCAAATCCTTATTCTGACCCCTTTCCCAATACTATATAGTATTGGGAAGGGGGGAAAGTGTCAATGGCTTGACTCTTTCCCCCAGATAATTCCCTTCCCTTCCTCATGAAAATTGCATGGGGGTTGGGTTAGATGCTGATATTTCTTAAAGTGTGACACTGCAGCTGACACCAACTGGCCTATGATGCATCCATGTTTCATATGTGAAAGTTAGGCAGGGCTACCCCTAAGTGTCTGGCCTTCAACCTTGACCTCACAAAAACAGTCTCTCTTATAGATACAGTACATTGTATTTATACATATATACTATATAGTATACTGGATAATATTAAGAGTTTGCACTGATTGTAGTTTTTGTTCGGAACTTCTATAATTATAGAAAGAGCAGATACTGTATACTGTCACAGATTATAAAAGCCTTGTAATAATAACCGCAACATGATTTTTCTATGATATACACACATACACTCACTCACTCACACTCTCTCTCTCTCTCTCTCTCTCTCTCTCTCTCTCTCTCTCTTCCTTCCCTGTCCCCCATCCTCCTTCTCATTCAACATCCCGTTTTGATACTAATATGAATGTTCCTTTCAGCCGTCACGCCCCACGCCACCACACCTAACCAGCATCCAGGCAGAGCAGATCCTGGCCAATGCCTGTGAGAACGAGGCACAGAATGCCAAGAGGATGCGGCTTGGCTTGGAGCCCATTGCCCAGCCAAACCCACTCAACCCCCAGCCTCCTACGCCGGTGAGTTCCTTCACTCATTTGCATCATGCATCACACAGGCTAAAGGACCAGGCTGGAGTAACTTGCAAAGTATTCAATTGAGTAGGAAAACACCTAAAACATTGGAAACTGAGTAACAATAATATGTAAATGGAAAATGGGAATGGGAAATGTTATTAATGGAGTCTCAGAAGAGTAAGTATAGGACCCATGCTATTCTTAGTATTGTATATACAGTACTACATAGCTGATGTACTAGGTTCCTTTGTGTCACTGTTTAAGTGTAGATGATATTCAGTTCATAATCATAAAGAAGCTGACAGACGAGCTGTGTCTACCACTGCAACTACTTTTTAGAAAATACCTACAATTACAAAGTCTCCAAGAATGCAAATATTCATGAATCATTACTATCTTTATGAAAAAAACAAAAGAATTGCAGCTGAAAAATACAGACATATCAGCCTAAACTTACACATCTACAAGTTCATGAAGAGTTGGTGACTAAACTACACATTAGAAAATGGAGAAACCACAAGGTCTCAGTCCATCCTGGACCATTATAAAGTCGTGTAGTGTCCTAGTCTTTGTCGTACATGACTTGATAATGGTCCAGGATGGACAGAAACGTCATCATTTCTCCAATTTCCATAAATTATAATTGTCGTCTACATTTTATTATACTGGTAGTGTCATGTCACCTGATTTTGGAGTTGTATCATCTCATAAAAACAGCCAATCTCTGAAGTTTTGTTGTTAATGTTAACCAATATTGACTAAGTAAATACAGTATTTTGTTTATATAGAATAATGCAAAATAATTGTGAGGTCATTATTGATCAACATGGACAAAAAAACTGCAGTAGTTGGCTGTTTTGAGGTGACATATCTCCAAAAATAGGTGGCATGACAAATGTATATGTACTCTATATGTATTGTATACATATATATATACTGTATATATATTAAATCTTTTACAGGTGGGACCAGACAAACCTTTAGGTTTAGTTGACACTGTGGTAAAGACTGAATCCAATGCACCACATGTGTCTGCTCTTGCTAAGGCCCTAGAGCGACCTATGGCTGACTCAAAAGTAATGAATGGGTCATCTATGTTCCAGGCATCATTCCAACAAAGTTTCCAAAAAGTAACCTCACTTACGGGGTCAACAGTACATACCCAACCAGGTCTTACTCCTCTTTTGGCCACTACCTCTGCACCTATGTTAGCTAATGGTAAGTGAATGCTGTATATTCATGTCTCTTTATATTTTGTTTTATTATCAGCAATATGCTCATGCATTTATTTAATCAAACATTAATCAATAGCTACTGTATTAACAATATTCTATATTCTTAGTTGAGGAATTCTGCTTCATTCCAAATCTTATCAATGACTAATCCCACCAGGACCAACAGACCTGAGTGTCAAGGGAACATCTAAACCCACGCGGCCAACGCTCAATGCAGTAGAGGTGGCAGCAGTTCGGCAACTCATTACTGGCTACCGAGAGTCGGCAGCCTTCCTGCTGAGGTCTGCTGATGAACTCGAAAATTTACTTATCCATCAACAGAGTCCATAGTGTTTATATAATGTTTGAATGTGTTAGTGTGAAGACTCCGTTGTATGTTTACTTACGAACAAACATGTATATGTGAATTTGCTGGTCTTAATGGTTGTCTTATTGCTGCTCACTCTAAGATGTATATGGTACAATTTCAGTGTTTTATGAAAATAGTAGTAAGAGTATTTATTTATCACCATTTAAGTTTGTGTATTACTAAAGTCTGTAAGGTAAAAAGCATGAATGTGAACATTACTGGTGCTGTTCTTCATGTCCAGTTATTGTATAAATCATAAATTGTTAGTGAGTTATTAGGTACTTTGTACAGCCTTAAATTTTTGAGGCAATTAGCAGTTTCTGTTCCTACCATTGTGGAAAATTATATTGCTTAGAGTTCTCTAGAAATTTTTTGTCGGGTTTACTATGGAAGTGCCTCTTCACCTTAAAAAATGGGTTTTATTTAGTATATGTATTCAAGTGAATAGAAACAATTACAGTATGCTAAGAGCTGATGCAAACAAGCATTGTGCAATTTTGTTCAGTCTCATGTGAACAATCTGATATGAACAAATTTCTTCAGCGTGTGTAATTAAAACTACAACGGTGTTGCATGAGCCATTAGCAGATTTGTTAAATATGTACCTGTTTATGTGAATGTATCTTCTGAATAAAACTCGTACTGTACAGTTTAGTGGGATTTTGCTTAGGATCACTAACGTGGCAAAAAGAATAGTGGGTAGATTGTTTCATAAATTCCCTTGACTTTTCCAAAAGTTGCAAAAAATATGTTCTCTTACAAAGGAATCCTAAGAATACATTATAACATCTAGTTGAAAAAATGGTAAATAAGAGCTTACATTTATTTTCAACTACTTAAATTGGTTTAAAGATATAAAGAATTATAACTGTTGCATAGACTGTTCTAGCAATTTCCTTTTCTTTACATTAGCAAGACAGGAGTTTTGATTTTTACAATTGTCAGTAAGTAGGTTCAATTAAGTTTGACATAGGCTTATAAATACTGTACACATTTCTTCATAGCTATTGCTTTAGATAAAGAAAAAGTGCAAATTTTTTAAGCAATAGTTCAAACTTGGAGACTCACAATAGTTATCAAAAACATACATAATTTAAATAGTCTTGATTATACTTGTTGAGAAAATGAGTGGTTTACTTTTATGGTGATGCCTATACTGAAGTCTCTACACTCCAAATGTATCTGTGTAGGTGTATATAGGTAGAGCCCCAATAAAGACTAAGAAATATATGATGTCCTCTGTAGGAGGTGTATGTATGATATAGAATACCATACAAAATGTGTGTTATTGAAATTTGGCGTGCAGCATTGTGCATTTTATTTTCTATAGATTTGCTCTGTACTGGAATGTAAAGTTTATGTTAGTCCTGCTTTCATTGTTTGACATTGTAAAGATATAAATTATAATTTGTTATGCTTTCACTGTTTAACATAATAGGGCACTATACTGTTATGTGCTAGCTCACTCCAGCATATCAAGAGCAAACCTATTCAACAAGTCTAAGTATTATGTTTCGCTAAAGTCTAGCTGACATGAAAATGACTAGTGTCCAGGCAAAAATTTAATATGTATTTATTACTTTTCATCACAGAGTTTCCCTGCTCAAGATATTTATATTATTTGTTTTTGCTGTTTAGTGCATTCCTCAAAAGACAACTAATATTAGGAGTCATTTAATTGAAATGCTCAAGAACAATAACTTATTTACATTTATTTTTTATTTTTTTGGGGGTTGGGGCGGGAGAATACACAGTTAACTGCATCTTCAAGAGGTGTACATATAAGTAATTTCTGAATTGTTGCTTTCTGGTGTGTTTGCACGTACGTATGTGTATAGTACTGGATTGTAATATAATATTTTAGTGAAAGTCAACTCATTTTTAGTGAAACTCAAACTTTTTACAAGATGACCTCTGTATCTAGTCACTTCTTCACATCACCAATCTTCAATTTTCTGATATTTAGTTGATCTGAATGATTCGTAAATATCCCAGCAAATACACAGTTGACATATTTTAAAGCTTTTGTTTATGTAATGTTTATGTATAATCTTTTGTAATCCACAACATTGTGGAAACATCAACATTATTTAAATAATGAAAAAAATGTGTTTGCCAGGAAAACATTACCCCCAATGTAATTAATTTTATTATTTGTTATTTTTACAACTTCATTCTTCTCTTTAATACAAAGAAATGTGCAGTTCTGAAGGCACATCAATTTATGAGGTCAGCCTCGACTTTGACAGCTTTATTTTTTTATAAATATATCATATTTTGCTGTCATCCAACACAGCAATATTATTTTTGTCCCAGTGTGCACCTTTATTACAAAATTTATATCATCGTTAGTTTTCCTGTTTACATCATCATTCGCTTATGCAGCTAATAGGAGTGAATGCACTTGCCCATGTGAAATGCAGAATTTAATGTAAGAAATGTTTACAGTATGAGAAATAAATGCAAAAACATGCTATCTCAGTTCTCATGTGCCCACGTGCATTGTTTCTTATTGTTTGTATTTCTGAATGATAATGAACTCTCATTATACCAAAGATAGAGATATATTTGATCTCATAGCACTTGTAATAAAGTTAGTTATTTTTTCTACTGTTGTTTTGAACAATGGTGTATTTATTTGTTTTCATATATAGATTATACACACACATACACACACACTTTATATATATATATATATATATATATATATATATATATATATATATATATATATATATATATATATATATATATATATATATATATATATATATATATATATATATATATATATATATATATATATATATACTGATATATATATATATATATATACAGTATGTATATAATACATACATATACAGTATATATATTATTTGGGTATTCAGTGCTGATTTGTTGGGTTTATATCAGTTTGGTTAAGCAAGTTTTTTTTTTTTTTTTAAGATAAGTGAGCTCTTAAAGTTTTAAATAGTTAATTTTGTTTATGAATTTAATGCAAGAGCTGCTTTGATATTCACAAATTCTTGTCTAATAGTAGAATACATTATATGTTTTTATCTAGATACAATAATTTAACAAGAATTGGGTACTATATATGAATAGTTTTAATACTGTACCAACTTTCTTAAATTGCCCTAAAAATATTTTGTGAATATTAATTGTCCATACATTATTATATGCTTCATTCACTGTTGTATAATTTGATATTTTTGATGTATCCAGAGTCAGTTATTATGGCCCACCAGGACAGTATTCTGAGGCTTGGCTCCCAGAGACCTTGTTTCCTAGCCTGGCAAAAATAACAGTCTTATAAAACATACAGTACACATAGGTCATGTTAGATTATTTACAATCATTGTCATTTTTATATAATTACAAATAGTGTTGTCAGGGAAATTACTGGTGAGGGGAGAGAGCAGAGTCTAACTCAGTCTACTACCATGGGACCAGCCTGTTACAACATGCAAAGTCATACCCTCGTTGCTCCCTAAAAATGTTAATTGGAAATTAAAGGAATGCTAATTAGATCTCTTTTAAACCACTGTTTCACACTACAACACTCCCCACCACCAACAGAAGGCAGGACCCAAAATTGAAAACTATGATTGGCATCCAGTTCCTTATGACGGTTATAACTAGATATTCTGGTTAATCAGTTTCTGGTTTAATGTTAAGCATTATGCCCATCAACCTCTGGAGGGGTATTAAGGTAACCACAAAAGCTTACTAACCAACCAGTAGGAATACTTTGACTCTGGACATAGTCTAGAGCCAAAGTAAACTCTTGTGTTTATAATCACTAAAAAGTGGATTACAGCACACCTCTCGGTGCATATATAGCTGATCAGTCTCATTTCATATGAATAATTTTATGTCCTACTTCTTTTGTATTAGCATCATAAATAGTATTTATAGTAATTATGATTGAAATGCACGTCACCGAGCTATATACTGTAGTCACACTTGCTAAGTGCTTTACCTTGATAATTACTCTACTTGCTTGTGATCCACTGCCTTGCTTGTGTCTAGGGACTTTGTTCCTAGCCTGCACATTGCCAGTCCATAGAATTATCTGAAACTTTTTTTTAGAATTATGTAAATACAGTATATAATAAATTAAATATATTTTCTTACTGTTACATAATATTTGGAAATGAATGTCAAATGTGAATAAATATAATTTTACTCTGAAATAAGCTCATTTTATAATGAAATAAGACCAATATAAATAGTGGGTCATGTCAAAGGTCAAAGTTGTCGCAGATCATCAACTTCCTTTGGTGTCACCACTTATTTTGGTCTTATTTCATTTTGAAATTAGCTCATTTTCAAGTAAAATTATGTTTATTTATATTCTCATTCATAATAAACATTAGGAAAATATGTTTTAAGTTCTTGTTTCTGTATTTTAAGAAGTTTTAGGTTGTTTTGAGTAATTCTACAAACCCCACATTGCTACTGATCTTCAACAAGGAATAAAAACACTTCAGAAGAACTACTCCAATTTTCTTCTTTGTGTGCAGACGAAGTTACTGTGCCCTACCCTGGTTTGCTTGAGGGTGTAGTATGGCTTTGGTTTTATTTATATATTTTAGTTCAGCTTCTGGCTATATATGCTCTTTTCGTCTATGTGAAGGCTGAGTATGTACCTCTTGTGATGTGCATTTTCCCCGTATCTGTTGTTCTTGGGATGGAAATCATGTTTTTACCTGTTATGACTGTATGCTCTTGTCATTATTACCTTGGTGTGCATTGCTTGCCTTTTTAGTGTCATGTCATCTTTCTGACTCGGTTCATCTGACCTGTTGCCTTTTGCCTTCTGTCCACCGATCATGTTGCTCCAGGCTCTTTGGTCTTACCGAGCCTTTATTTTTCATCATCTCTACTCATGCTATGTAATGTGCATCTGCTCTCATGCTCTGCTCTACTTTCAGTTTTTATCAGGTATATCCTTTTCATAAGTTTGTAATGCACATTGCATATGGAAGTCAAACCTTAAATTCACAGTTCAGATTCTTCCTAATGTGCTTTAACTCTGCCCCTACTGTGTGGTCCTGTGGCTCTTGTCATTCATTTGATGTTAGTGAGTCTCTAGATGCTTCGGCTATATGTGATGATTGTACTATCCTATACATAGGTCTAACTCTTCATATGTCCCACTCAGGTAAGTGCCCTGTCTGTTTTCTGTTTCTATAGTTTTAGTTCTTTCTTTAACATGGAGAGCTGGCTTTTGGAAAATCTAAGAGGGCCTCAGTTCAAAAATAGGGTTCCGTGCACTGTGAAACCCTTCTTTTTGAGGCAATACCTCGGATGCTCCTGTTCCTTCATTATCTGTCCCCCTCTTTCCTAAGCTTGCTTGGGCAGTTTGAGCTTTAAGTGGGTGTGCCAGCTCCTCCATCCCTATTGACATGTAGGATTCTACCTCCTGGTGGTGGTGGTGAGTAGTGTAGGTTATAGCAATAGCTCACAGAATGCAAATTGATATGTCTTGCATTATCCAATTAACACTTACAGTATAGGAGGTGTTGTGGGTATGGCTTGCTTTTGTGTCATAGCAGGCTAGTCCTTTAGTGGTGGCTTGAATTTGACTTACCAGTGTTTACCTTTGCCATTAATTTTTCTGACAAAACATTTGGAAAGATGCTTGTCAGGCTATGGGGCAAAGTCACCGAGAGTCTATCGCATAAGAATTTTTATTATGTTTGGTGAGCCATATTGGCTGTGGCTCAGGAAGCATCTGATGGACTGGCTCAGAAAGGAATATTTCATTATGCTCAACAATCTATATTTTCAACAAAATCAACACTGAAAGTATGAGGGATCATGTTCCTTTAATAAACAAAGAAATCTCAAACAAATTATTTACCTAATGTAAAAGATTTCTTCCATATGTTTAGATTTAATAAAATTCATTCCTTTATAAGCTGCATGATGGACCTGCATCTTCTCTACAGCACAGCCATGAACTTAAAAGTGCCTCCAAATTTATCAAAGAAAACTTTAATATCAGTGAAAGAATTATTTTAAACAGTTAGTAAAGAAATTCTCTCCAGTTTTGTGTGTAGTATTCAAAATAGATATAATTTAGCATACAAAGATAGCAAGCTGCTCATCTGTGTGTGAGAACTGTGTAGGTGCACCGTGCCGAGGCAAGTGTGCCGCCGTGTGTGACAGGTTGTTACAGGTGAGAATATTATCTTTGTACTGACGATGGAAATAAATGTAATTGTTAGATTGTTGTGATTTTATTACACTACTTTATAAAAGGAAGTCAATAAAGTATACAAACTGGTAACTTACAAGTACTGGGTACTTTGAATTTAGCAGACACTAGATAATATTTATTTATTTACTTATTTACCTGTATTTGCAAGAAAATACAATTCATCATTTCATTACAAATTTTGGTGATTAGGCAGTACATTCTCACAAAGCACTAATATGCATAGCATTTTAACCAAGTTAACAAAAACTGAGATTTATACTGGAAATTTTCAGTGATTTTTGAATGACAAGGTGAATACAGTCAATCTTAAACAAAAATGGTGTTGGGAATGCATGGAGCATTCTACCATCATGGTATCTGTGCATGGAGTTCTACCATCATGCCCATCTACCATGGAGTTCTTCTACCACTGCAAACTACCTCAAGCCCATCATCACCCAGCAAAAATCTGCTATCAGAATAATAACAAACTCTGCTTTCAGACAACACTCAGCCCCCTGTTTAAATCCCTAAACATGCTAAACAAACTCACTCCACACATTCTCTTGTGCCATTTACATTTACAAAACCCTGTTCTTAAATGCAAACCCTGATCTGAAACTCTTCTTGGACAGATGTAATAGAACCCATAATCACCACACCAGAAATAAATATAGCTTTGATATCCCCAGAGTCAAACTTAATCTGTGTAAACACTATGCAAATACAGGGACCTAGTCTATGAAACTCCCTCCCTAACGAATTGAAAAGCTATCCAACTTTTGCCTTATTCAAAAATAAAACCAAAAAGTGCCTAATTTCATCTTCATAGTTTCCTACCTAGTGCTTTCAAGTCGCACTGTATCTTGTGTTACCTAATCCCCCAATATATATACCTAAGCAATATAACTTCATTGTAATCATTGCTATCTCTGTAGCAAGAATAAACAATATACTCGCTCCAAACTCATTAGCTAAACATCTTATGTCATGGTTGTTACAGTGAATGCATATTTTACTGCATTATATCTTGAAATAATCCTCAAATTATGTTTCACTGTACCTGTTCATAACCCCTCAAATTTTACTATAATGAACCAACTAATCTTTGTCAACTTTTCTTACAATGTATCCGTTAACATTTTTTTTAATTTTACTGGAAATTACCTACCTAAAATTTTGATCTGTTAGATTAAGGACTTGCCCAAAACGCTATGCGTGTTAGTGTCTTTACAAGAATGTTAAAAACATCAATCCTATGTTCTCTCATAAACCCAAAGTACCTTCTTGTATATATATATATATACATGAAAATAAAATAATAGGGGTGGTTCAGAGACTCGTCGCTGGGAGGCCGTGTTTACCTTGTCCAAAGTTTGGGAAAGGTGGCAGTGAGTGGTTGTCCGGCACGTGGAGAGGGTCGTCTCCCTTTTTTTTGTGTGTGCACTAACGCATCGGTTGATGTATACATTGAACTGTAATTAGCTTAGG